CAATGACCAAGGAGGATAGAAGGAGAATTGATGCCTTTGAGCTGTGGTGCTGGAGAAGAGTATTGAGAATACCATGGACTGCTAGGAAAACAAACAAATTCATCCTGGAAAGGGTTAAACTGGGTGGCTCCTTAGAGGCAAGGATTCTGAGGCTCCATCTACCATACTTTGGACATGTTGTGAGGAGTGACCGGTCGTTGGAGAAGGACATCATGCTTGGGAGGGGTGGAAGGACAGCGCAGGAGGGGAAGGTCCTCTATGAGGTGGATTGATTCAGTGACTGGGATAATCGGGATGGGAGTAACAGAGACAGTACGATTGGCACAGGACAGCGCAGAGTTTAGGGCTGTTGTAAATAGGGTCGCTTTGAGTCACAAGCGACTCGACGGCACATAACAACAACATCCTTTATGTTATCTCTTTCTGGTCTCCAGCTAACTTGGTCTTATAAATCATCAACATCTATGGGACAAGGATAAGAGACAGAGTGCTTCCCACACTACGTAGCAAGATCTGAAGGCTCAGGTAAGAGTGAGACTCTGGTGGTGAGATCCTAGTAATGGTGGTGGAGAGACTGTGGCATTGCTATGGAGAAAATGTGGCAAGGTATAATCAGAGAAGCCCTGAAATAAAGGCCACAGTTAAAGATTTTGCTGTTCTTGCCAGATGATGGGAAGAAAAGCTGATGGCTGAGCTCAAACTGGAGCCTGGACTAACTGAGGAACTGTGACTTAGGGCTGTTGGAATAAAACATAGATTTGCTTCTCCCACTCAACCTACTTTGCTTCTCCAACCTATTTCCCTAATAAACTCCACTCTTGGTACCACAACTGTGAATAAAGTCCATGAGTTAACAACAAATATCAAACCCAGTGATAGGTGAAAAGGCGTGCAGGAGTATGGGGAGGAGAGAGAGATCTCTTTGCTGCTGTGGATATTACTGATGAGGACAGTTCAATTTTATGAAGCAGGTAGAAATAAGACTCAGCCACCCATGATGTTGCATCTGTTACATTGTCCCACCCTCCTTCAGCTAGATTCTTTTAACAAACGGTTAATGCAGGTACTGAGGCAGATTCCAAGGGTACTAAGAAGATGCCAAGGACAGATAAAAGCTCTGCTTTTGACTAGAGAAGAAAATAAACACCAAAGAAACTATTTTCTAAAATGTGAAAGCAGCACGTATTGGTTGAACTGACTCTTGTTAATAAAGATTTTTCAAACAGGAGAGTGGCTGTGGGAAAAGAGGAGGAAAAAAACCCACAGGCCCTTGTAGCCTTGTGCATGAACGTGAGAGAAGCAGTTAAAATGCAGATGCACGAATCCTTGCAGTTTTGGGGTTGCTGGTTTTTATTTTTAACCTAAGTAAAAAAAAAAAACTAAAGGTAAAAATAAATAACATATTTATGAAATTTAATGAGTATTCATCGTATTAATATTTCATTAACAGTTAATAAGCACATTATCCATTTTCCTTTAGTTTTTTACATAGGCTAAAAATATTTTTTAAAGTACCTTAGAGTTGTAATTTATAAATGGAACTAATAAAGATGTTAATTTTCTAGTATTTTTAATTATCAAAAATAAATGAAGAAGAAAAAGAAAGAAAGAAAAGGGAGAAATAGGGGCGGGGAGAGAGAAACTTTTGAAAAAGAGAGGTAAGCTGCAATGGAAAAGAGAAGCCTGAGAGAAGAACAGTTGGCAGGAAGCACAAGGCGGTGGCTCCAGAGATTCCAAGAAGAAATATATTCAAAAGCTGCACACGCAGGAACGCAGGCTCAGGGAGGAAGATCTAGACACAAGGACACAGAATCAGGAGCAGACATAGGTTCAAATGGAAAGGCATCAAGGGCCTTTAAGAGGCTGCAAACCAGACAGCCACAAACTGCTGCACCATAGTGAATTTGATCAACTATTTTTGTTTAGCTGATAGAAACTGTTTAGAAAAATGGTGCTTTTCTGGAACTGTGGGTTCAGATGAAGTCACACATTTTAGAGGCAATCTCCTGAGCAGAATGACCATGAGCTAGGAGCTCATTAGGTGCACGAATCGGGCAACTGCTACGTGTCTCAGTTTGAGACTAGGGAAATGTAAAGTGATTTTTCAGGGTCATGATCACAGTGTCGGGAGGCCTGCCAAGATTTCTCAGGAATCAGCCTTTGGAATTCCTGGAGGAACTGTGAAACCTTTTATGAGTATAAATATAATCACTTTAAATGAAAATGTGCAGATCCTTCCAGGACGACTAACCTACTTCTGGTCGCTCATTCTGCGTTAAATTATGATGAAAGACTTAGTAACTTGTATCCAGAATCTTAATAAACCCTTGAAAGCCCTGAGTTCCATTCTCCAAATCTAGAATAAATGCTGTAATTAAGGTGTCATAAAACTACTTTCCAAATTTTAAAAATGCTTTAAATTGGTAACTATAGTAATGGGAAATTTATTCGCTAAACTAGTGAGTGTAAAACCATAATTCATCTCTTTAAACTCACAGAGTTTGGTACTAAAGAAAGATAATTTCTTAACAATATATTATCCCTAACTTCTTGGAAGCAGAAACACAGAGAGATAGTCACCTAAATAAAATACAAAAACCAATTAATAATTTAAAGAATAAAACTTACTTAAGTGCATTACTGTAGCTTGTAGCCATACATTTGGATACATGGAATCATGTTTTATTACATATTAAACAGAAAAATGTTGGAATGCAAGCACTAATTTTGCCTTCTCTTAAGTCTCTATTGTATGAAATGCCTGCATGAAATTTCAAACTCGGCTTGTAATTAATTAAAAATAAATAAAATTAAATCATTGGAACAAAAGGTGTAACTAATTAAATCAATAAGCATAGCTCTTCTTATCATAGTATATTAAATCTTTGCTATTTAGTTCCTACTATATCAAATTAAGTCTTTGCTATTTAGTTCCCGTTATTGTTTCTATAGTTTCTGTTAGAGAGCTCTGTTGGGGTAGACCCTACGGAGTTGTGCTGCCAACTCAAAGATGAGGCTTCTCTGGTCGTTAAAATCCTCCAGAAAAAGATAAACAACCTTGTTCCGTGAAATTCACAGCCTTGGAAACCTGCTGGAGAGTCAGCTATGATTCAGACTTGACTTGGTAACAATGACAGAGAGAGGAGTTTCTATTGTGGAATCCCTGGATGGAACAAGCAGTTAAGTTGTTATTTACTGAAATTTGTCAATTCACATCAAGCCAGAGGCAACTCAGAGGGCCTGGCTCTCTGCTTCTAAAAGGTCACAGTCTTAAAAGTTCTATGGAGAACAGCTCTCCTCTATGCCACATGCAGTCACTATGACTTGATTCCAGAGAGGGCTATTGTACCACATACCTGTAAAATCTCAATGATTTTCAGCTTGGTGTCCATCACAGTGACATCCTCGTGCTCTGCGGGGCCGCCCTGTTTGATGGGGTGGATGCTGGGCTGCACATCAGGTGCGCTCATGGGGAAGATAGAGCCTCTGCTGAGCACCATTTGGGTCATCATCTCACCCACCCCATGGATGGTCCTCATCACATTGTTTCCTGCCACAAGAAAGCTTCTAAGTCATGGCTTACGGTGCCTGGAGGATCATAACTATGTAACAGTCAGTTTAAACACTCAAAAAAAATAGTCAGGGGAGAGGAAAATACTTTGAGTATTGCTCTGCACCTTTTCTTTTTTTTAAAATTAACTTTTATTAGTTTTAATGAACATTTACAGAGATTTTGGGTTTTCATTCATTCATTGTTGCACTATTTTCTCCACCCTCATCCCCAGTTCGTTCTTCTTCCCCCCCCCCAAGTCTGTTTTAATTGTCCAATTGCCACAGTGCTTGTCAAAGCCAGTTCTGATTAATCTCCTTTGTCAGTG